TCTTTCGTGATAAACTGGATTAGTTGCAATCTGAATGGCACTTGTGTTATCAGCACGGAGAGGAGTAGGATTAGATTGAGGAAATCCAATTTCTGCAAGTAAACCACGAAGCCAAATAATTTTGGAGCAAGCAGTCGACATTGCTCGATATTCAGACTCCGTTGAAGATTTTGAAACACGATCTTGCTTCTTGCTCTTCCAAGATATCAAAGAATCTCCGAGAAACATGCACCATCCCATGACGGAGCGGCGAGTATCAGGACATCCAGCCCAATCAGAATCACTAAATGCATTAAGCTGAATAGGAGAACCACTAGGAAAGAATAATCCACGAGTTGATGTTCCTGAGAGATATCGAATGATGAGACGAACTGCCACCAAATGTAGATGACGGGGAGTCTGCATAAATTGACTGACTTGTTGAACTGCAAAAGAGATATCAGGCCGAGTAATAGTAAGATAATTTAGGCTCCCAACTAATTGTCGAAACAAAGTTGGATCAGGAAGAAGATCCCCTTCATCGCGACGATACTTTACATTCAATTCCAATGGAGTATCAACATAGGAAGATTCTTGAAGACCAGCCAAAGCAATCAAATCCTGAGTATATTTGTGCTGGTTTAAAAACACACCTAAAGAATTATAAAGAACTTCCAACCCCAAGAAATATGTTAGAGCACCAAGATCTTTCATGTGAAAAGAATCCTCAAGCTGCTGTTGGAGGCTAGTGATTAATAAAGAATCAATTCCTGTTATAATGATGCGATCCACATATACCAGAAGAAGAACACAACCTGTTGATGTTTTTCGAAGAAACAAAGATGAGTCATATTTACTTTGTTCAAAAGAGAAGTGAAGCAAAGTAGATCGAAACTTGTCAAACCAAGCTCTGCGAGCTTGTTTTAATCCATACAAAGACCGCTTCAACTTGCAAACATCTGATGTAGGTGATGAAAACAAACCAGGTGGGGGTTTCATATAAATATCTTCTTTCATATCACCATGGAGAAAAGCATTTTTGATTTGCACCGGGTGTCCGAGTCTCTAAGAGCCCCGACTAATCCCGGGGGTGCACAGGCCCTCGGCAAGGAGTTTCCCGCAAATGCACCACGGTTAATTCAGGTTTTACCCAGTCCGATGGCCCTCAGAAATTGTTTGCACCCAGTGGGTTTCGAACTTGAGACCTTGAAAGGGAGCAAACCCCAAGGCTCAAGTCTATTACCACCAGGCCAACCCCTGAGGGTTCCATGGAGAAAAGCATTTTTTACATCCATTTGATGAAAAGGCCAATTCTGTGAGGCAGCAATGGCAATAATAGTTCGCACCGTAGTCATTTTTGCTACTGGTGCAAAAGTCTCCTCATAATCCACACCATACTCCTGTTTGTTACCAAGAACAACCAAGCGAGCTTTGTACCGATCTAGAGTTCCATCAGAATGAAGTTTAATTGAATAAACCCATTTACATCCAATTGGGCAGACATTTGAAGGATATGAAACAATGTCCCATGTGTTATTTTCTTTAAGAGCCAAAAGTTCTTCCTCCATTGCTTTCTGCCAACATTCATGCTTGCAAGCTTGTGAGTAACAAGTTGGAACAGAAATAGTGGATAAAGTAGAGGAAAAACCATACCAATTAGGAGTATTTTGTTCTCTGGTAGATCGCCGAGTAGGCTCAAGAGGAGCAGGCCTTGAAGATATCTCATATTCTGGTTGTGGAGCAGTCTCAGGTGGCGGATCAGTTTCGCAATGGAGTAAAGTTGGGCAATGTCGTTCATACACATATCCGGGTTTGAACCGCTTAGAAGAAGATGACAAATCCTCAAAAGTAGGAAGAAGAGGAGAAACAGAAGATGACTCAACATGAGTGGGAGAGAAATATTGATTCTCAAAGAAAACAACATTTCTAGAAATACGAAATTTGTCGAAACTTGGATCATAGCAAATAAACCCTTTCTGCGAAGTACTATAACCCATAAAAGCACATTTAGCAGACTAAGCAGAAAGTTTATTGCGTTGAAAAGGAGGTAGATGCACAAAACAAACCCAACCAAATGTATGAAAATTATGATAGCTAGGATTATGGTGATAAAGACGATAATATGGAGACTCAAGATTTAACACTTTAGATGGCAGTCTATTAATTAAATAGACAGCAGTAGACAAAGCTTCCACACAGTATTTAGATGGGACAGAGGACTCGATCAATAAAGTACGAGTTACATATAAAAGATGACGATTTTTATGCTCAACAACCCCATTTTGTTGTGGTATATATAGGCAAGCGCGTTGTGAGACGATTCTTTTCTCAAGCAAGAAATTATTGAATTCATGAGACATATATTCTCCACCAGAATCAGATCTTAATATTTTGATGCATGTAGAAAATTGAGTCTCAATGTAAGCCAAAAATGTCTTGAATATGGAAAATACCTCAAATTTGGAACGAAGAAAATACACCCATGTAAACCGACTATAATCATCTATGAATGTCACAAAGTACTTGAAATGAGCATGAGAAATAATTGGTGAAATGCCCCAAACATCACTGTGAATGACCTCAAAACACTTATTAGCACGACTACCAAAATTAGGAAAAGGAAGAGTTTTACTTTTGCCTAATTTACAAGTAGAACAATCAAATGAAGCAGCTAAAAACTGATTTTTATTTCTCAATAAACCAGAATTTGATAAATGAGACAACACTATAGAATTTGGATGTCCTAGACGCTTATGCCAAACCTCTGTTTTACTAGCTGTAGAAGTACAAGCAAAAGACAGAACACGAGGAATGGAAAAACGTATAGGAAACAATCTTCCAACTTTAGGCCCCTTCGCGATTATCGTCCCCGACACCTGATCCTGCACAAGGCAACCATTACGAGAAAAATTCACATCACAATTATTATCTACCAATTGGCCAACTGAAATAAGATTAGTTGAAAGCTTTGGTGATACAAAAACATTCTTGAAAGTTTGAGTAATATCCCCAACCTTGGTAATGGGTAAATTACTACCATTCGCAATCTGAATTTGTGATGGACCATGATAGTCACGTACATTTTTTAGCATGCTAGTTGAGTTTGTCATATGATTGAAAGCACCAGAATCAACAAGCCAAAAATTAGATGTAATATTGTTACCTTGTAGCCCCAAAGTTGAAAAGGCGGACATAATCATTTGTTGTACCATTTCAGGAATAAGAACTTGTGCAACTGTTGGAGTAGCAAACTGGTTGCTAGTTCCAGTTGAAGATGAGTGATCATCAGTCGAACTATTTATCCCAGCTTGAAAAGCATTGATCTTACGGTTTTGAGGACGTGTGGGACACTCTTTGATAATATGCCCGTGCTGCTTACAATAATTGCAGAACTTCTTACTACAATTGCTAGCAATATGATCATATTCTTTGCAACTGTAGCATTGCGTGGTGCTCATATCCCTGCCCTTTCTTTTTCCTTGAGCAGCAAATGCAACAGTATGAACACTTTCTTGCTTGAAAGCATTTTGTGTGAAAAGATGCTGCTCTTCACGAAGTAATTCCCTAAAACAAACATCCAAGGAGGGAGGCGGGTCACGATTCATTAAGTTAGAGCGAAGACTCTCAAAATCAGATCGCAATTTCATCAAAAATTGGTCTCGCTTGCTTTGCTCATGAACTGCTTGAATTATAGATAGAGATTCAGCAGGTATTTTAGCATAAACAATATCAGTAAATTCAGCCCATAAGTTTTGAAATCCAGAAAAATAATCCTCAACAGAGAGACCTCCTTGAGAGTAATTAGCGATTTCGTGCTCTAGTTGAAATCGTCTTACGCTATTGTCTTGGTTGTAAACCTTTTGTAAATAATCCCACATGGCCTTTGCAGTCCTGTACGGCCTGAGATTAAGAACAATAAGAGGGTCAATTGACCCTAAAATCCATGTCTATCACCCGAGCATCTTTGACCTTCCACTGACCTAACTTTGTAAGATCAGTAGGAGCAGGATCACTTCCATCTATATGGCCCCATAATTCTTTTCCCGTGACAAATAATTGAAACTGAAGTTCCCAAGCAGAATAATTTTTCCTAGTGAAACGAACACTGAAGGACTCAAACTGATGTGAAGTCATGTTTTTGAATAGAGAAAATCAAAAACACGATGATACGGAAAAAAAATAGCTAGAATAACCAAGATCAGATCAAGACCAAGACCAAAAGCCCTAGATGCTTAGGACTGGTTGTTGACGAAAAATCAAGAGAACCAAGAGAACTAAACTTTCAAAAAAAAATTTTTTTTTTTTTTGAAAGGAACCACATATGAAAGATACTAAGAATCAAAACTATGAAAAGAAGGCTCCAATACCATGTCAAGAACAGAGAAAGCATGAGAGAAATTGAAGAACGACTATCTCCATTACTTGATTCAAATACATCAGATACATTGGTATTTATACACAAGAAAAAATATCCTACACTAAATATAAATCCTACAAAATATTCTTCATATATTCTACAACTAATGCTACACAATATTCTACACTAAATGTAGAATATCCCTAATAATATCCCATATATTCACCATATCGAGAATATATTAATGTAGATATTCTACAATCTGTCCATTATGCTAACAAGACCAACCATTACTCTGCATAGAGAAAAGCTTCTTCTGGCAGAATTTTGAAATTTGAACTTCCATCTTTTTTTTCCATGTCGGGTGTTTTAAGGTTAGACTGAGATCCTCCTCTCTCAAACCAGATTTCATCTGTCATTATCCAATGTCAAATTGGAAGTCAAGATAATCGATTTTACATCTAAAATGTTTTAAAGAGATGGTCTTATTTCACTTTAGTTTCTTATGAAAAATTAATATAGTATCTTCTATACTTCTCATCACGCTTAGACTTTATTTGAAGCTGTTTCCTCAGTCTTCATAGATGTGGTAGCTATGCTAGTTGAGATGCTTACTTTAACTTCTAATTCCATTTATTTCTTATCTTAATGGGACATTGTTATTTCAGGTGTCAATGGTCAGGAGAACCCTAGGAAATACAGGAGTGCAAGTGGCTTGGTAGGTTGATTTACATTGTTAATGCTGCAAAAATTGGTTATCCTTACTGCTTGGATTCCAAAACTTTTCCAGTGAGCACGACTCTTGTTACTATAGTGATTTATTGACTGCTTTTAGTGGGAAAAAAAAGAGAAAGGAATAACAAGGTTTAGTAATTGACCTTCGATGGTATTCGTTGATGTATGTTAACCCATCATTAATTCATATAAACCCCACTCCTGTCCCTTAGTTTCTTAGTTATGAGAATCAAATATTATTAGTTTGACATAACCAGCCAGCTATAACATTTTCCCCTTAGTTTCATATCCGGATCACTCCCCGAAACTATAGGTTTTTTAAATAATTTTTCGTCTGATGAAACTGTGTTTCTAATGGCAGCTGGTCATACATTTTCATCCATTACGCCCTTCTTGTTGCTTACGTGGCTCGTTCTTCAGATATATTGACAAACTTCAGCGGGATTCCATTGTATGTTCAAATCTTCCTTAAAAATTTTGAATAGTATCATCAGTTTTTTAATTTGTATGCTTTCGTTGATGATGGTCTTAAAATATCTTTTATCGTGTAATCATAAAATTGAGTTGGTTAATAAGAAAAGTAAATAGCTATATTGTGGCGGGTCCTGGGCTTTTACAATTCTCAAGAGTTTGACTTTCCAATTTATACTTCCCAAGAAAAGGTTAATTTTCTTGACCTTCTACCGCTGGTCTTGGAGGTTTTCCCTGTATTGCTGCCAGTCCTGAGTATACTTGAGAGCAGTCATTTTAGGAATATGATTATGCCATATACCAGTAAATATTAAGTTTATTTGAAGATGATTTCAATTACTCCTCATGTCCTTTTGGTATGTCTTAATCCAGGATCTAGAGTTTGCTAACACTGTGTATGAGCATGTTAAACACCGGAAAGCCAAAATGAATGTCCTTGAAGAGCTTGATCTACAAAACAATATTGACCTATCTAGAGAAGAGCTTAATACAGGGCAACCGGAATACATCAAATGGATGATCATGCAAGATTTTATTCTTAAACAAAAAGCAAACATCAAGTGGTTCGGAGAAGGTGATTCTAATACCAAATATTTTCATAGTCTAATCAGGGAAAGAAGAAGAAGGCTACAGCTCCACAAGATCAAAGATCATAGAGACAGATGGGTGGAAGGAGAGGATAACATTGCAAAAGCCGCTATTAGACACTTCCACAAGAGATTCAACATCAAGCATCAATTCAATGATAATGAGATACTTGAATGCATTCCCAGGATTATCACTGAAGAAGACAACATTGTCCTGACTACCATTCCTAATACAGAGGAAATCAGAGATGTTGTTTTTGATATGGGTGCTAATAGTGCAGCTGGTCCTGATGGCTTTAACGACACCTTTTTTCAGAAATGTTGGGATATAATCAAAGATGATATCACTGGCTTCATGCAAGAAATTTTCAATGGAAAGAGACTAACTAAGTTCTTCTCACACACATGCCTGGTTCTGCTTCCTAAAGTAGAATCTCCTGTAGCTTTTCAGAACTTCGACCCATCAGTCTAAGTAATTTCACTGCTAAGATCATATCCAAAATCCTTTCGAGAAGACTAAATCCTATGCTTTATAGACTCATTTAAGAGAACCAAAGTGGGTTCGTCAAAGGAAGATCCATCACTGAAAATATTTTGCTAGCACAAGAGATCATACAGAACATCAAGCATAAAAACTATGGGGGTAACGTTATTATCAAATTAGACATGGAGAAAGCATATGACAGAATGTCCTGGAGCTTTATCATGTCAGTTTTGAGAAAATTTCGCTTCTCGGAAGAATGGATTGACATCATTTGGGGCCTGGTTAATGAAGTCTGGTACTCTATTATTATTAATGGTAATAGGAAATGGCTTCTTTACCTCATCTCATGGCTTGAAACAGGGAGATCCACTGTCCCCTTCTTTGTTTATTATTAGTGCAGAAGTGCTAACCAGATCCTTGAATAATCTTTTCATATGTGAAAATTTTACTCCTTCCAGCATGAATAGCAGAGGTCCAAATATCAATCACCTTGCATATGCCGACGACATTGTCATATTCTGTGGAGGTAACAAGAAATCCATCAAGCTTATTAAGAAACAAATCAGGAGGTATGAATAGGTTTCGGGACAAAAAGTCAATAATGACAAGAGTTATTTCATCACTTCTCCTAACACCTCCGTCTCCAGGATCAATAGAATTAGGCAAGCATCAGGGTTCATGGATAAAAAGTTTTCATTCAATTATTTGGGGTGCCCCATCTATCATGGAAGGAAAAACACAGTCTTATTTGAAGATATGTTGGCGAAGATCGTTAAAAGGCTCAATGGATGGCAAGGAAAAATTCTATCTCCGGGG